GTTCAGGGTTCAGGATTTAGGGTTTAGGGTTTAAGGGTTTAAGGGTTCAGGCTTTAGGGTTTGGGGTTCAGGGTTTAGGGTTCAGGGTTCAGGGGAAAATGCCAGCCGCAGAGTCTCATCATCAACAGTAGCAGCCTCCGCTGCGGCCTACGCCACGTCCCTCGCCACTGTCGCTGCCGCCACCGCCGCCAGCAACTCAAGCATCAGCATCTCTGTCATCATCATCATCATCATCACCACCATCATCATCATCATCATCATCATCATCATCATCATCATCATCGCCATCGTGAGCACGACGGCGACAGCAGCAGCGACATCGGCGGCCGCAGCAGTAGCACCGCGGCAGCAGCAGCAGCAGCAGCAGCAGCAGCAGCAGCAGCAGCAGCAGCAGCAGCAGCAGCAGCAGCAGCAGCAGCAATACGACTGACAGCAAAGCAAGAGTAAACCCATGGAAACAGCCTCAATGTTCATCGTCGTCGCTAGAGAAGCTGTCGTTTGCCAGTCTTGGCGTTGACTTACTGACAGACGGTATTCAACACTAAACAACGATCACAAAACAACGATGTCGGCAAGTCTGCGAGGAAAACAGATGTCAACAACGATTCCCAGAGCACGCACCTACAGCCTGGAGCTGCACCCTCAACCCTAAACCCTAAATCCTCAACCCTAAATCCTCAACCCTCAACCCTCAACCCTAAACCCTAAACCCAAACCCAAACGCCAAACCTCTAAAGCCGAAACCCCTAAGCCCCAAGCCCAAAACACTGACCTCATCCCTGCTCCCCATCGCTCAGGAAGATGATCCTGCAGAGGAGGAGACGAAGCGTCGTACATTTTTAGGGTTTAGGGTTTGTGGTTTTATGGGCTTGAGCGCTTTTTTTGGGGTTGCAGGGGACGTCAGAGGGATTCGGTCAGGAGCCCGCAACCCCTTCGGCGCGGAAGAAGAGGACATCCGCGCTTGGTGCAATGTGAGTTTTAGGGCTCCAGGGTTTAGGGTTTGCGGGAACTAGAGTAGACCGGCGGGATAATTTAGAGGCCTAAATAAATACCAATATTATTTTGGGGGTTCCTTATTCTAAATATAGTATAATGGGCCCAAAACCTTATTTTGATTATTAAGCCCCCTATATTTTACTTAAAAAGAGAATAAGATACCAGATTCCATGGCATGCAGGTCTTGCCATGACATGTTGAGATGGCAGGAAGACCGCGTGACCATCGGTGCCTCCGTGCATAGCCCAGACTGGGCAGAATTTTCGCGAATTCTCCTAAACCCTCCCAAAAGACTAAGCGCAACACCGAAACCCCAAAGAGCTAACAAGCGGCCATGGAGAGTTCATGCGACGTCTTCAGGCATCGCGGCTGGAGGGATGATGTTATTTGAGGTTTAGAGTGAGGCTTTAGGGTGTCTTCTCCTGAGATGAAACGCTTATCGGTACCGTTTCTTCCGACAGGGACGTTTGCCGGGTGAGGCTTTTCTTGAGCAGCTTGCAACTTGATGTAGGTCGACGGGCTACTGCCCTGCTCAGACACGTACCTGCGGTGCATTCGACCCGTTGCCGAGGTGGATGGACGACTGCTTCAGCCGGCAGACATGACTGAGCTGCCGTCACTCTAAACCCTGAAACCCTAGCCGATCATTACCAGCGCCCTTCCGAACTCTCAGCCCCAAAACCTGACTCCCAGTCGGTGGTGCATGGCATCAGATGCTTGGGGTTGTATGACACCCGAAACCCTAAACACCCGAAACCCTAAACCCTAAACCCTAAGCCGTAGAATGAGTAATGTAGGGGCCTGAATAGTTGCCTATACTATTTTGGGGGTTCCTTATTATATTATAGTATAATAGACCCCAAAACCCTATTCTAATTATGAAGGCCCCGAACATAGAACCCTATCATACATCCCTTATTGCACCCTTGAAGGATCCCTTTAAAGGAACCCTGTTTTAATTATAAAGGCCCCCACGTTACAACAGGAGGGTTGAGGGCTTCTGGAGTGGCGCGAGATGATCTCATCGCTTCACGCATTAAAAGTGCGACGGTACACCTGGCGGTGTCCTAGAAGAAAGGGTGCTGTACTTGGGGCTAAGATCTAGGGGTGCTTATGGTTTAGGGTTTAGGGTTTAGGGTATAGGGTTTAGGGTTGATAATGATAATGATCCCATTAATTACTTAGGGTCTGTAGTTAGTGCCCTTATTTCCCTCCACAACTCGAGTTTGGACTCGAACTGAAAGTCGCAAAGCGCCACATACCCCTGAACAGTTGAAACACCAAAATTTTCAACCAAGAAAGCCTTGGACCCAAACCCGGTATAGGGTTTAGGGTTTAGGGCCTCAAAGGCTTAAAGCCTGAAAGCACCAAGGTTTCCAGTTGAACCGTGGCTCAGGGTTTAGGGTTTGAAGCTCGCAATCGAGCTTGGGGGCTTGAGGCAGACGTCTTAGGCCCAATTTTGGACCTAAGTACTAAACCACCTTCCCAACTCTGAACCCTTAAA